TACGGTCACTTCGCTGGTAGGTACTCGACAAGCAGGAGACGATGCCTGAGGATAAAGTGCCAGGCGCACTTAAGGGATGACTATGGTATGGTCTCTTAGACAAAATAGACCATTTGCTGCAGCCTGCAAACTTCGCATGTAAGAGCCAAGACATAGCAGATGTAGGACAAGTATATCAACACGCAAAAAGGACAAACAAGTCAGAGAGAAACCTAAGCTAGGAGAAAGCCAGTGTTGCTAGTAGTTGAGCGTCAGATAGCGAAGCGCGAATTCTCGGAATGGAGACCCGATCAAGTCAATCGCCTATCATCCTTTCGAGAGAGATGAGTACTATTTCGTGAGAAGGAAAGAGCAAACTACATGCTACAGCGGTCACTAATCTGTAGATACAGCCTTAGAAGAACAACAAAATAAGGCACCCCAGGGTGATGGACAAGGAAACGAAGGTTAGTCACGTGCAATGAACTTCAAGAAACCAAGGGTACCACAAATGATGTACGAAAGTGAAAGCGACATTGATATCCAAGTAGTTAGACACTTCTTTCCTTCAGAGAGAAAATGTTTGTTCGACGACGCAGTAACCGGTGTCTTATAGCAGAAGTGATGAGAAGCTGAGAATTATAAACCAACGTGCCAATGAACATCGTGCTAACGCGAACGGCTAGGTGATGATTGCAATCAACAGACAGACCCACGCCTTACTACATGGCAGCTCTGCTTTCAACAGCTCGCGAAATAAGGATTTGCTCAAAACCATATGATCGGAAGGATTTGAGGTCAAGGCAAAAAACAGAAGAGCAATAACGGGAATCGAGTGACCTGAAGGCGTGATAAGGAAAAAGACTCGTCGTCAGATCGCTTCGCGCCTCAGGCGTCGCGCGGTTTCAAGGCGGAATAAGAACGGACAGCAAAATTCGAAGGGAAAAAAATTGTCGGGCATTTGGCTATGGGGGCGTTATCCAGCTGTTGCCCGGCCAAACGAAAACCAACAACCGTTAACGAGGTTAATGAAGCATAAAAGCCGGTCAAAATTGGTTAAACGGCAAAAACCTGACTGATACGCGCACTATTGATCTCTTTTCCTCGCTTTCTGGCCTCCCCTCCCTCTGGCGACATGATCGGATGGCGGGACCTAAGACTGACGTCGATGTCAGCGTCGTCCAACCGCTACCCAACTAGCCGATCGTAAACATAAAACAATTTTGAATAGCGGCAATCACCATCCACGCGGTCCTCCCTTCTCTGAAAGTGAGAAAAACGAAGAGCATCTAAAAAAGTGAGTAAAACTGTTGGCAAAAACTTTCGAACCCCAAAATTTTTGTCAACCTTCATTCCGGCGTTTTATAGTTCGAATGCAGAAACATTATCAGTGGCGGCAGCAGTGGTGAAACGAAATACTCGCCTCATCCATTGACCGGCGGCCGGTCGACTGGTGAGAGGAGAAACAAGCGCCAGCCAAATACACGATGCGCCTCAAGCTCTGCCCGTCGGGCATCAGCACCAAATGCAAAGTGTCGGACGTCGGTCTCCACCGTTCCGTCGGTCCTGGCCAAGGAAAGAACATCACCTTCCTTATAAGAAACAATCATAGCGGCGACAGCGGCGGTCACACAGGCAAGAATGCGTGAAAACTGATTTTCAGGCACACTCCAATGGTCAGTAGCTCGGCCCGCTGGTCGGTCGATTGTTGGCGTGGATCGCTCGACCGGCGCTTGCTGGCACATGCAAGCTCGAACACGCGTGCTTTGTTCATGAAATGAACAGCTGTTCCCGTCGCCATGAGGAGCGCGTAATGAGGGAAGAACGGCGTCAGCCTGTGTCATGAGGCGCGACGAACAATTGCACCGATCTAATGGAAACGAAAACGATCGAGATCATGACGTGATGCATATAGCCCTGAGCAGCCGGCTTACCTCCAAAATATGGAGGTTGAAAATGCACATCTCGGTAGACCTCCGCGTCGTTATCGTATGTGTTGCCAGTGTGGTAATCCGTTCATACAGGTACAGATTGAAACTGATTTTCGGTTCAGTAAAAACCGGTGATACCGCGATTTTACGAGATTACTGATAAGCCTACCCATGTATGTCATGTTCAGCATCGCCGCCGACATGTCTAAGTTTATGCCAGAGCCTGATGTAGCCTAAGGCTCAGAGAGTAATGCGGTAAAAACCACACTACCAAACTGGACTGAAAAGCAAATTAGTTTCAGTCTATAGTGAAACCGATATGGACGGACCACCATTGTAGACGGCAACATAAATAAAGCTGCACAGTTCTGAGTTCTTCGTTACACCTTTGTCAAATTCCTAGAGGAGCTGGTTGCTCGCAATGTTCTCTCGGGATATACTATAATGATGTAGTGTCATGTTTATACCGATAGACATGATGAACATGACGGCATGAGGTATAACTTCATGCTGTTCCTCACGATCTTGTGCGATCCTCGACGAATGAATGATGTCAAGTCATCAGTGTGCTGCCATTTGGTAATGTAATCTGTCCAGCGTATTATCGGACTTTTCCTTGGCCTCCAAGTCCTGTAGTATCATTTTCTTCAGGCAGGGCCCGTCCTCGCATATGTTCTTAAACAGTGAGCGTTGAGGTTCTAGTTGTTTGAAGATCCACTCATATAAGGCTTGAAGTTATCCAAGGGGTTCATCGCAGTCGCTTGTAACATCATATC